CTGGCACAAAAAAAAATCTTTTGCAAAATTATTATAGGCACTACCAAGAGGTGCTTTAAGATTACATATAAGATTTTGAAAAATGTGATATATATAATGCAAAGAATATGCATCATAATAGATACTGTCTATAGCGGCATCTATTCCAGGGTCAGCATCAGTAACAAATACCCTCAGTGCATGATTTGTTGCTTGTAACATGGAGGTAAGGAGCCACTCGTAAGTTTCTTTGGTTTCATCATTTACTAAAGCTTGTGCAACAAGCCAGGTGCGAAAATGATTATTAACCACTATGAATAGAGAAAGTGGCATATTAAACTGATTGGTTTTATGTGTGTTATCATTTAATATAACATCATGATAAGTAATCCATAATTGGACTTGCTCTGATGACATCTAAAATAATTTGTCCAGGCTATTGGTTTCATGATGAAGTTCCCAAAATATTTCGCATCCTAGTTCTTCAGCTTTTTTGGTAAATAGCTGTCTTAGTAGTTTTGATGCATTATTTTCTTCATGATTAGTTACTTTGTATCTTTGTATTAAATTTTGTAAATCACGTGGATATATCGTAATCTCAGAAAACTTGGCTGACAGAAGTCTGTGCTGAATTATTGCACTAAGATTTTCTTGGGTTGTATAAAAGCTGATTTCTCGTATGATGGCTTCGGGTAGTGTTCGATTTTTGGTAGCATATGAGTTAGTCATAGGATTAAGCGGGTGATTGTGTTTAAGGTTTAATGATGTTATATTAACAATTGCAGCTTTCTTTGGAAAAGTAATATTAATGTGCCAAGAGTGCCCAGACTGTTTTGATTTACTATTTCTTTGGTTCTCTAGAATTACAGATTTTTTAGATACATAATTGCCTTGATGATTATACGCATAAGTGTGTTATCTACAAACTTTCTCTGATGAAGAATCTTAATCATTTTTAAGTTTGGTAATTACAAAATTCTCCTGCCAGGCATAATCGTTAAGATATTCATCAGCACACTCCCAAGTGTTGAATGTTTGTCCAACAAAAGGCAGCGCCAAGATCTGTTCACTATAGTTAAGATAAAAAATAGATATAGGATAAGTTAGTATCATATTAATTATTTGAAGCCAAATAAAACTTGAGTACTATACTTTGTAGATATAGTAGTTTGGTCTTCCAAATATATCATTTCAATACCATTTTCTGATTGTATATTATTATCGAACTGTATTATTTTGCCATTATATGGTTGGGCTTCATCATTATTGCTAGGTTGAATTACCGATTGCACTTTATTGTTATTATTAGGCTAGGTTATTGGTTGTGCCTTATAGTTATCGCTAGAGATAGGTACTCTGCATTATGTGCCTTACATTATGCAAAACATAATATTACATAATATAATATAGATATTTTAAAATTTAAAAGTATACATAGAAATTACTATATAATTTTAATGCAACAAAAGTTAATAAAATATTATATTTATATCATACGTATGTAATACTAAGTGATATGTAGCATCAGTTAGTGATTTCCTATCTATATAAAGCAGGCTAATTAATATGATGTTTGAAAATATCATAAAATAGTAAGCTTTTGTCTAAAGATAAGAAAGATTGGATATGAATTGTCTTCTTAATTTTGGTACAGTCAGACCTCTCTAAGTGCACGCCCTTGGGACCACACTTTAATAATGTGCATATAGAAAATAATAAAAAAAGGTGCATTTATGGAGGTCATACATATATTTGGGCTGGCACTTGAGCGTGCATTTAGAGAGAGTGTGCACTTGTAGAGGGTGCACTTAGAGAGGTCTGACTGTATAATACCATGATTGCATAATATCGCATGCTAGCATTATGCTGCATTATACAATACGGAGCCAAAAAAAATATGTATTCGCACATCTCTAGTTATCACTAGAAAGCATTAATTCATGGTTATTAAACTGAGTTATTTCATTATTACTAGCTAGCACCATTTTATTACAGTTATTATAGTGGTGGTTAAGCTTGTAAAAATAAGTAAAATAATTAATTTACACTAACCTTCTACAAAAGAAACAAGAAACAATGAAAAGACATTTGGTTTTTTCAATTACTTACCTATTAGCTAATAGTTTACGAAAGGTATGCCTAAACACTCGTGATTGTTGCTAGTAGTATTTATAGTGGTTATTCTTACATTTACTTATTACTATATGGGTTGGTTATTATTATGATTATGGTTGCCACTATTGTTATAATTATGCTGCCTTTTGTTATAGCTTTGTCATGGTCTTTGTTGTAATCTTTGCCATGGTCCTTGCTGTGATTCTTGCTGTGACCTTTGCCGTGGTCTTTGCCATAGTCCTTGCCGTGGTCCTTGCTGTGGTTCCTGCCGTGGTCCTTATTGTAGATTTCTTTGCTATAGATTTATTTGCTGCAGGTTCTTTGCCGTGGCCAAAGTCTTTGCAATTATTTCTATCACTATTGTAAAAAAAAAGATTGTTAGTTATCTCTGTATTATATTGCACATGTTGCTGATTGGTCAAAATGTATAATCACATACTATCTTGAATTATCACATAATTACACATACTGTATGCATTTATGTGATCAGGATTTGTCATCGTCGGTGACAAGCATATTTTTTCTTAAATATAAATTAAATTTTTTGGGGTTTTTCATTTAAATTCGAATCAATTCGAATTAATTAAAATATAATTAACATTTTATATACTATTTTTACATTTGTCTGCCTGTTTTGATTTGTATTATTGCTATTTTTGAAATGATTAAAAATGGCAAATAAATTTTTTTTTGATATACACAAGAACATATAATCATGCGATCAATCGATTACATATGCAGATTAATTGAAAATTAATTTGCCTATTTCGTAATTGTTGAAATTATATTAATTTCAATTACTATTGTTTTAATTATATAAACCAAGAATCAACCTTCAATCAACATGTTAATAAACTGTGTATTCATTGTTTGTATATTTGTGAATTCACCTAAAATCATTATTTCTATTTTTCATAAATTTCGATAAATTTTAATTTAATTAAACATTTTCGCAACCATGCGAATAATAGTCATATTTTGTGGATATACCTTTCAGTCAATTTAATCCAATTTTTTATTACTAAGCTTCCATTTTACTGTAGTCGTTAAATATTGTATATTATATTAAAAATAGTCTGAATCACTAAACAGGACCTATTTAAAGGTTATGATTTTTATTTCAACAATAGTCTTAATAAATTTAATTTATTTTACTTTTATTAGCATCTTATAAACTCCTTACATATCTATTATATGAAAATTCGATTATATAAAAATCTAGAATGCTTCTACGTAATAATAGAAAAATGCAAAATATGTATGTTTAATAAAATTTACTATAAATGGCATCAAAATGTTTTATGCGAATTAATTTAAAACAATTCGGATTAGTTTAAAATATTTGTCTAATACATTTAAAGAAATTGATTGTTGTACATTGTTTAAACTAAACTAAATTTATTTAAATATATAGAATGAGGGAGTTATTAAAGACGATAACGATGGCATTTAAAAATTCAGTAAAGCGAAATAGTCAAATATATTTAATTTATTAAAGAGATTTTATGAAGATTATCTCAGATGATTTTATTAAATATCATCCATAGCATATGTCAGTTACACAAATCGGATCAGCATATAAGTATTATTTTTTTTTGTTTATATTATTTTTTTTTCTTTTGCTAATCAGTTTCCTTTATTTTCTTTTTTTTATAGAGCTGCGCGTCATTGGTTAGTTATATAAGTATTGAATTTTCTTTGTTCTTGCTTCTTTTACTTTTTTCTTTTACTCATCAGTCTTTTTCATTATTAGGTTGTTTTTTCGTCATTTGCCAGTGTAATTACATTCGTTGTATACTGGTGTTACTGCTTATAAGTATTGGTTTTCTTTTGTCCTTGTTACTTTCTCCTCCCCTTCTTTCTACTAACTGGTTTTTTTTTTTAGTTTATATGTCTCATTGTCGTTTTGTCATTTGTCAGTGATTATCTGGGTGTTGATTTCGTCGTATACTGGTGTTGTCGCTCATTGGTGCATTTCGTAGGTACATGTTGTTCTTGGTGGCCAGCGTTATTTTTTATTGGTGTTTTAATATCGGCTCATTGCTATTAGTTTTTTGGAGTCTTTGTGAATTAACGTTATACTGTTTCACTCGTGGTGTCGTTTTTGGTCGTTAGTGTCGTAGTTGGTATAGTCATTGGTGCCGTCGTTAGTGCCGTCGTTGGTGCCGTAGTTGGTGTCGTAGTTGGTGTTGTAGTTAACGTCTTTATTGGCGTTTTTGTTGAGTTGTAGTTGGCGTCGTCGTCGTTTGGTGTTGTAATTATAGTCGTTCCACTTGGGTGATCGCTTGTTGCATTTCATTTTTCCGGTCTGTGTGTCTTTTGGCCATCGTTGGTGTTGTGTGTAATCGTGATTCTTGTTGCTAGTGGTTAGTTTAGGGATTAGAGTTAGTGGGTATTTTAGAGGTTAGGGTTAGGGTTAGTTAAAGTTTAAAGTTAGATATGGGTTCTTTCATAGCAAATCAGGGTTTAGAGAGGTTCTAACTATAATTGAGATAAACTTTAGGTTAATTATGTTTGATATTTTAAAAAGCTTTGTTATGCGATAATATATATTATGCGACAATAATAAATTTTTTTACTATGTGTATAAATTTTAATATAAAAATCGACTTTGTAATTTTATTGGTTGATTTGTAGATCGTATAACTGGGATGGTTTTTAATAAAATCATCCTGGATGGTCGTTAGAATTACTTTTTATTAAATTAGAAATAATTAAATAATGATAAATCGATTTCATATATATTACACTAAATCAAACTAATTCGAAATACAATAAATCATCTAATTCAAATTAAATTTCAAATGAATAAATAAAATTTGATTACATTAGATATAAGATTAATTTTAATATACAGAATTAAAGAAAATAATTTAAGAAAAAATAAATTAATAGTGAAATAATTTGAGTTGATTAGATGGTTTTTGAAAATATTTAAATAAACCCACTTTCGCTAACTTTCTTTTCATAAATTTTTTCATTACTTTTTCGATCAAATTCTTTCATATATGCTCAATTTTTATTACTCTATCTGCATTAAAAAATTTTATCTTTTTTTACATTATTTCTATTTTTTTAAAAATATTTCGTATTTTCTTTAATATCAATTTTTTCGTTTATACAAAATTAAATTCAATTTATTCACATTAATTTGAACTTTATATTATTAATTTCCTTCATTTATTTTATTTTAATTTAAATTATTACTATTATACAAAATGTCTTCACAAAGATTAGGTCATGGCGCTAAATTATCTGCAAGAAGGCATGAAGCTTTCGCCAGATTAACAGCTAGTAGAACCTTACTTGAATCAGAAACTGATAAACCTAGTTCACAACAATCCAATCCTGTTAGCACTACCTCTCATGAATCTTCACAACCTTCTGATGGTTAAAATATAATAATATAATTTTGTTTATTTTGTTAATTTATTATTTATAGTATTTTTAAAT